AGGTTCTAGACTCTAGACATATATTTAGGCTTAACATTTTCTTGAGTGTCGGTTCTTAATGTTCTGTGTTATTGATTTGTGTGAGACATCACCAATGAGACAATACGGTTATTCGTTCGACGTTGCGTTAGACATTACCTCTGTTGTGGGTGATACGTGAGGATATTAGACGAATGATTGATTTGTGTTTAATTGGTCAGAAGAATGCATGTGTTATCAATTGATGAGATCCAATACTAACAAGGCTCCGTTTATATTTTAAGTCTTTACTTTATATTTTCCATCTTTATATTTTCTTCTTTATTTATGGTACACTTGATCTTTCAACAAATTTTTCCAACAAGCTTAGAAATAGAGATACCGTTGAAAGAAGTTCTTTCCCTCACATCGATTCCTATGAAGACAATATAAATCCCTGAGGGAATCCTTCAAAAACTAATTTTTTTCTTCTTTCCGCTATACTGCAGTTCGAACAAAATGGCGCCGTTGTCGGGGATTGATGTTTAGATATTGAAGTGCATTGCAATAGTTTATATATTTTTAAGCTTTGTACAGTTGTTTATATTGTATATATACTTGTTTCCTTTTATGTTTTCTTAAGTGTTGTTTAGGGATGAATGATGATAACTTCTTTTAGATTGATTGTTATTTGTACAAAAGTATCCAATGAACATTCTCCCAAGTTTGGATGGTGATGGTAGGATGGTGAGTGTGTGAATGCAAAAAAAGGTACATGATTACCGCTTTATAGAATGTTAGAATGGTTTAAAAGTTTTGTGTTTTGTGTAAATGTGTATTCTAGTTTCATGTTCCAGCTTGTTTGAATGCTTGTTTCACTTAGGTCCAAAAGCCACAAATTCTGAGAAACCTCCATTGTTTACTATATGCTAGGATGACTGATAAACTTTGTTTAATTCGTTTGATTCATGCTTTATCTTTTGATTATTTTGATTTTGTGGAAGCATTAGAAATGATCAAGGCATTTGTTAATATTGAGCACAACCATATCCCAAAAAAGTAACTTGCCCGTGAGTAGTGAGAATTTGCTAACCCTTTTGAGCTTAATAGTTTATATCATAGTTTAGTGACGAACTTGTTATTTGTACATAATTTGAAAGATGGTTCATCATTGAATTTTGTGGGATTCTAAAAAAAAATCTTGAACCTTTGAAATTTGTTCTAAATTGTCTTCTTTACCATAAAAAGCAAGGAGCACTCACTTGAAATTTGGTTGAAATCAAGTTGGGGAGAGTAAAAAGAAAAGTGGTAGGTTACTCAAAATTTTGAAAAAGTTCAAACAAGCATTGGAAAATAAAATTATGAATATGAATGTGAAAAAGAAAAAGAAAAAGCATGTTTGTTTGAAAGAAAAAAAATAAATAGAGAATGAATAATGTGCATAAAGGAAGTTTGGAAGGGTGAACAATTGAGAAAAGAAATTGGTGAATGAAATTGGATGTGTAAATAACTTGTATAGTGAATATCTCTTTTGCATTGGCAACTTTGATTCAATGACCTTTAGAAATGACTCTTTTTTGTGAGCCTTAAAAGTCCTTGGTGATCTTTTTGCTTTCATGATTTTATTTTTGATTGATTAGATGAATGTATGAATTGGATTGTTATTTTCATTGTTTTTCATGTGAGTGAAATTGTCCCGCGGTTGCAAACGCGTTAATTTCTTCATTCTTATTCTGAAGAGGAGTGTTAGAATGATTCAAGTATGAGAATTTAGTTGTTATTTGGAACATTGCATGATATTTGTTTAAGAACTAAATTGTTTATCGTTGTTCGATTTTATTAAGTGGTAAACATTGCTTGTGCGTATTCTTATGCTTGAGCAAATCCTCTTATTTGAGCAAATCTCTCTTGTTTGAATTTGAACCGTTAATCTTTTCTTGCTTGAATCTTATGCTTGAGCAAGTTTATCTTGTTTTCATGAGGGGCATGCTTTGCTTGAGGACAAGCAAAAATCTAGTTGGAGAGAGTTTGATAAGTGCAAATTTGGACTTAAATTGAATCATTTTTCTTGGTACTTTTCAACTCAATTCTCATGCTTTAATAGATTTATTTCTTGTTCTTATGTGATTTTTTAACATATTGCAAATACATTTGGGTTCTTTGATGTGTGTGTTATTGTGCAGGATATGGGCATAAAACATCAATGATTAAGACACAAAGGAGCGGACAAGGAAGCTAAAGAAATGAAGAAGGATCAGCATGTTCATTGTGCGAACGCCAGCGAGGTGAAACGAATGCTTGTTGTGCGAGCTCCTGGAGAAGCTCCAGCAAACCATCCCAGATTAGAGGTAGTAGGAAAATGACTCAAAGTTTGTTGGACGAAGCTGTAGTGAAGAGGTTCGTTGTGCGAATAAGTGCTTGCATTGCGAACTCTGATATTTTTCATAGGCGGTTTAACTGTTCATAAGCACTTGAAGTGCCTATACGTGGACCTCGTTAGGCGAATATGGTGTTCGCTAGGCGAACAGGACCGATTTTGTAGATACTATATATGTACTTTTCTCACTTTTTTAAAAACATAACTTTAGTATAACTTTTGTAATATATATTTTTGAGATCAGAACTCCATCTCTCTTCATTAAGTATATTCTAGAAAGAGAAACACAAACTTTAAAAGGGATAAGGTAAGAGCTTCGCTTTATTATTGAGTTTGGATGTAATCTTTTGATACCTTATGTATTTCATCTAATATATGTTTGTGAACTAGTTTTGATTCAATATTGATGTTGTCTTTAATTTCTTATTTATGAGTCTTGACAAAACCTTTTTCAAATCTTGGATCTTCGATATTCATATATCAACGAGCAAACTTTTGATGTAGTCTTGTAAGTTGACATTCACTAGTATCTTTGATTGTATTGTGTTGATTAGTAGCATGAGTAAGATTAATACGGTATTGTGAGGAAGCGTGATAATAGAGATGAAGAACTATGTTCACTTACATTTAAAAAATTAGTTGAATGCATGTAAAAAAGATTAAGTGTATGGATGTAATCTGATCATGGCGTTTTATATATATCAATCATGAAACTGATATGGATGTCATCTTTGTTTAACTGTTTATCTTTCATTTGAACCGTTATAGAAATACTCTTCAGATCTGGATCTAGGATGATTATCTGTTAGGTTCTAGACTCTAGACATAAATTTAAGCTTAACATTTACTTGAGTATCAGTTCTTAATGCTCTGTGTTATTGAGTTTCGTGAGACATCACCAATGAGAGAATATTATTGTTCTCTCGACGTTGCTTTAGACATAACCTCTGTTTTTGTAGGTGATACGTGAGAATATTAGACGAATGATTGTTTGTGTTTAATTGGTCAGAAGAATGTATGTGCTATCAATTGATGAGATTTGATCCCAACAAGGCTCCGTTTATATTTTAAGTCCTTACTTTATATTTTTCGTCTTTATATTTTCTGCTTTATTTATAGTATTGTTGACCTTTCAACAAATTTTCACAATAAACTTAGAAATGTAGAAATCGTTGAACGACGTTCTTTCCCTCACATCAATCCCTGTGGAGGCGATATAAATCTCGGAGAGAATCCTTCAAAAACTAAATTTTTGATTCTTGCCGATTTACTGCAGTTCGAACAGTTATGCAGTTCAAAGAAATTTGCAGAAGTCGTGAAGCAAAATTAAGCAAGAAAGTGGAAGGAGAAGATTTTATAAAGGAGTTAAAGCCACAAGGAACCTTTTAGGCTCCCCCAAAATTTTGAAAAAATCAGCACACTTCTGGCACATCACGCTAGTGTTTAAAATCTCTAAAAATATGTCATTATTACTTATATTAAATGGAAGTAAGCATGATCATCTAAATGACTTATTGACATTCACAGCTGACATCCTAGTTAATCATGAGACACTTGACAAGGGGGTGATTCATTTGTAATTGTAGGACTCGTGTCAATAAAAAAGAGGGATTCGCCTATCATCTATGATCGCCTTCAATTAAGAGACTTATGCCAAATTGAAGAGACAAGTCAATTGAGGAATTGGCTCCAAGCTAAGGAACCCACCTCCCATCTAAGATCGCCTTTAACTCGCCTCTAACTCGCCTCCAATTAAAAGACTCGCCTCTCCATCTAAAGTTAGTATTCCAAATTTTAGAAGACAATCAAATCGAACTATCTTGTCTTATTTTAACAATCAAACCAACCGATATTGTCTTTAAGCAATGAATTTTAGTTTGGTCAATCTCCAAACAAAACATATGGAAGATGGAGAGCAAGAAATTTGGAATCACCCACAAACCATTGACCAAAAATCCTTAACTTTAGCTATAAAAATCGGAGAACATTTAAAGAAGAAATCTCAATAAGCTCGATCACGGGTTTAGTAAGTCAGAAAGTTAATACTATTAGGATTACATGAGAAGCTTACCTATATTTAGAATTCAACTTAAGTGTCTTAGGGGTCTAAGAAGCAAACTCTTATTGCTAAATAAAAAAATTTAGCTCCTGTCACTGCTAAAATCTTATGGGTTAAGTCACTCCTAGTATCTCTCACACAATCATGACCTTCACTAACGCACCAAACACATGGAATTTGATAAACATTTTGTCAGATAAATGTCATAAACAAGAGCCTCTGTCACATCCCAGCTACAGAACTGATGTATAAACTAAACCTCTATCCACTACTAGATTTGGGACTCAACTCTCTCCCTCTCCCTTGGAATTAGTTTATCCCTTGGAATTAGAATGTTAATTTCTGCAATTACAAGAGGAGGATGCACAATTTACACCAATAAAAAAACTATTGATAATTTGTTATTTAAAAATAGAAGCAATCCAGAACCGCTTCAAATCCACATAATAATTTCCAGGCTTCACTAAATTGACATCGAAGCCAAACAAATTGACATGAAGTAGCATTCTTGTTAAGACATTTCCAAAGCTAGTCTGTTTCCTCTGCTTTGAAGGATTTCTAAATATATATACAAAGGAGAATGATTAATAAATACTAAAGTTTAAGTTATTTATCCTTCTTATCCTCAGGCAAAACAGAAGATTTGCAGATAGGACATAGTTTCTTCATAGATAACCACTTTTTAATGCAGCTCACATGATAGTCATGTCCACAAGTTTTAAGTGTCCCAACATCGTCCATATTCTTGTACTCTTCCTGTAATTTTCAATAAAAACTGGTAAGCACCTGGTTAATGTCATCCAAAGCTAAAAAAAAAAAAATCATTATTAGTGTAAGAAAAATATACCAGACAGATCACACAGCTTCCTTCATCCTCCTGGCATTGGTCAGATGAACAATATATTGTTTCTGTCAAACACTTGGAAAGCACATCCTCAGACAATCCTGTATTCACCTGGCCAATCCTCTCCCCAAGTGCAAGAAGTTCCTAACAAAACAGATCAGTAAAAATTTTTAACACATTTCGAAGATAATAAAATTATTTGTGACAAAAGAAACAATAATAGGTAGTAATAATCAAACCTCGTAGCTCATGTTATCTACGTCCATTCTCATGTCTCTGTGCTGATCAAGTATATTCCTAGAGCCATACAGTGAAGCACGCTCAACAATCATGAAGCCCTGAAAACCCAAAGTAAATAATAAAAAATTGAGCCAGTAGGAAAGCCAGAAAGAACAATTTTGCATTTGCTGATAGATACTGTGAAAAATTAGAGCTTAAAACTGTCCTTTTAAAACTGTGTCTTAATTCCTTTAACCCTTAGCTCAACTAAGTAACTTGCTCTAGTTTTGCAAATAAACCAAGCATCCCTATGTAAGGTTAACTATATGGTGAGCAGATGTTCTGACTGTCAAATACTACAGTATTATCCTTCTTTTAATACTGAAACAAAATTAGAGTTCTCCGATATACTGACCGGTACCTCAGAGGAAAATCTTGCATGGAGACCAGCCTCATCGGCCAATGATCTATATCTTTCACTGGAAATTCTAGACCTTCCATTTCTGTCACCATTCCGCCAGCCAACAGTGGCCAATGGCCTTGGATGTCTAGAAGAGTAACCTTCAGCTACCATAGGCAATCCAATATCTGAAGGCGCCGCCTGTCCCAAGCGCAAGTTTGAAGAAGCCCTAAAAGCTGGAGTGGATCTCTGAGAGTAATTACTTCGAGTTCCCCTAGCAGTTTGAGTCAAATTTTGAAAACTTTGAGCAGTAGTAGGATTTCTGCTTGTACTAAATTCATGATGGAAGCTTCCAACATCTACAGGTGCATTACTAGCAGCAGCAGCGTTTCCAACAGGGAAGTGACTTGTCTCAAGACCAGAAGTACTAGAATCTGCATTTTAAGAGACTGTTTAGGCATACATGGAAGGAGAATGGAATGTTTCAATTCTAAAATTTATGGACCACAAACTAACCTGGTAATAACCCTCTTCCATTAGCAGGAGTTACATTCATTTGGCTCCAATCCCTTGTCAAAGGGGTAGTAACCTGAGCTGAAAGATCCGCCAAGCTACAATGGCCGAATGGTGAGGCAGTAAGGTAAGAGTTGAGTGAATGGTTAATTGATAGATGGGTCCTAGGCAGGTTGGATTCCAAATCAAGTGCAGAACGGCTCCTTACATTCCGTACAGAACTCTCACCCTTCATTGTGAGGCCAGCACCTCTAAATGTGGGTGTCATAGCAACATGATCCCATGGCATATATTGAGAATTCATATTTGGTTTCTCTGGCCATGATTCTGGAGGTGTAGGAAGATCGGTTGAGCTCCCAGCATTAAAATATCCACTTGAACTGCCTCTCTCGTAAACTGAAGGAATTCCAGGGCTCTTCCTCTTGTGATGCCCCCGTCCACTTCCCATTGTAAGATCAATAAAACCATTATCAACATGATATGCATGTCTGTCATAATTGGAAGAAGACGGAGGCGGGTGTACATAATTTTCAGATACTGCAAAGAAAGGTCCAGCATTAGATGTATGCATAAAATGATCGTTAGAAGTGCCTGCTGTGTCCAATTGCTGAGGAAGAGGTGGTGGAGGAGGAGGAGGCACTTCAATGCTGGAGCCTGAGGATGCATATCCATTTGATCTTGAGTTAGAGTTCCAATGAGAGGGGAAATAAATATTATCTATAGATATATTTTCCACAGGATAAATAAAAGAACCATTTTCTGAAGAGCTAGTCCCCTCTGCAATGAAGGTTCATTCAATGAGTGCCATGATTTGATGCAAGAAATACAGTTCTTTGCAACAAAAAAAAAGATTAATGAAATAAAATCAAAGTGGAACTTAAGCATAAAGATTTAACATTACCATGGTTCACATGATGTTGATCAGTATGCATGTGATTCCAATTTTGGTCAGCTTCACCCTCAAACATTGGAGATGATGCATTATATATGTGTCTATGCCCCATTACTATCACTTGCAACCCCCAAGAATCAATATAGAGAGTATTGAATCAGATATACAATTAATTCAACCTACAATGCAAAAAAGGATTCGAATAAATTCAATATTAGAAAACCAATAATTCAAAACAATCAAGTAAAAACTATTATGGTTCCAACATGCTCTACTGATCCATGTCCAGCCCTGCATTATCATATTTATATATTGATATATACCAATACTTCCACATATTTCTCATACAAATCCGCTCAAAATGATTATGCAAGAAAATGATAATGCATAATATAAACACTTGCCTGGATGCAAAAACATCACTGACAACCAAATATTGCATGTAAAACCATGAGTAAGTAGTATATATGCAAGAGTAAAGCATTGCTGAACATGTCATCAGAGGAAGAGAGGAAAGTAAGAGAAGACGACATGTGGAAAGAAAGTTAGACCAGAAGTTACAACTTCCAAAAGGTGAAATTTAGAAGTAAAAGTTAATGGTTCTTACTATCATGAACTGTATCAACATGTCAACGGCAAGAACAAAGCCTGTGTGTAACTACTGACAAGTACAGCAGAATTCAATGCCTAGAGATGACGTAAGACGTGTGATAAGTTTTTCCTTGATCTTCCTAATTAGGAAAAGAGTACTACTGCAGTTACATGTAGCTAGACATTCATTTTCCACTTACAGCATAAGAAACAATAAAACCACTATTGCCACTTCCATATCATTACCACAATTCCTTAATTTTTTCATAACGCATTCATTAGGTTTACCATTTTCTATTGAACCCTTCATAGGACCAAAGGATCAAATCCAAAACACTGAGCCCCAGACATACTACTGATTTTCTTTGGACTAAATAAGAGTAAATAATATGAGCTTGGTGAATATTAAGATTTGGATATTGTGTTTAATTGGCCAACAGGCCAATGCTGCCACTCCAAGGACAATATGACACTGCTAAGAAGTACATGAAAATGAAGGTTAAAAGCTTGGTGAGTTAGAATGCCATCAATAGGTATTCATGAAAAATGAAGCATAAATAACAGCCACAACAACTCGATCAAAGAGAAGAGAGACACAACTCGCAATTATTTGTGGAGGATGATAGGAATTTACAACTAATCTACTGAACGAGACCATCAACACTAAACACTAGCCACTCGTATCTCCTTAATCATAATGAATAATCAACAGCCCAAATACGTCCACTCACTTGAAACCAATTTACTCATGCCTCTATCCACTAATACAGAGAACACCTTCTAGTCTGAAGCAAGAAAACAGGGCAGGGAAAAGTGAACACAGGAAAGAAATATGACATTATTGAGATTTAAATTTGACGATGGATCTTCACTTGATTTTTATTAATAGAAGCAAGAATTCAGATTTGACTTATAAAAAAAAGGAGGAATTGGAAAATAAGATGACAACGCATCAAATATTACCTGGGCTAAGTTTAGCAAGTGTTAGAAAGTGTTAGCATTTTATAATCATTTCCTGCATTCGAAAAAGATAATCAACTGTGCAAAGGTAACAGGCAAAGAGTGGAGAAACACTCCCATCTGTCTCTAAACAGTAAACAAGATAAGACCAAAGAACCACAAATAAAAAAAGTAAATCCCAGAGACCGTAAAAAAATATACAAATATTTGACACATTTTTTTGTATAAAAAGAATGGCAAAAAAAGGATAGTGAAATATGTTTTGAGAACTAAAATGAAGTATTTCTCCTTTCATAAAGGCATGTAGATTGGGCAGAAAAGATGAAGGTAGTAAATGAATTGGTAAAAGCCTACAGAACAGATTCTGCAACAAAAAAATAAAGGTTTACTACTAGATAGAATGTTAATAAGAGGAATATTAATAGAAAACATACATTGGTTCAATAGTCAAATACTAGCATTAATATAGTAAGTTAAAATAAAACATCTCATTATGTTATATGCAGAAGATTCAAATGAATCAAAACTTAGCTTCATTTGAGAAAACAGAGAAGGCGTACAGAGTTTGTTACCCTTAATATACCTGGATAATCCAAATGAACTTATTCATAAAAAGCTTGGAAAAATTAAAATCAGTGCATATATGTGTAATAGATTTTGATTATATGCCAACAAAAAATAACTTCCAGTTAAAAGCATTTTGACAAACTCAAAATAAGTCATTCTGAACACATTGAGAACTCACTTAACCATGGAGCTTTATCAAACCATTAGTTATTGTAAACAGGAAACAAGAAATAATACAAATTGACAACCTTTTCACTTCAGTTTCAGATTTCTCTACAATCCAAACACTAACTATATCAAAACATAAAGATAGAAAATTAATCATTATGTGCTTTCAAACTAAACAAGTTTCAATGTTAAATAGTTTTGTGCTTTCAAATTATACAAGTTTCAATGTTAAATAGTTTTGTATATTTCTTTCTAGCAGATACATTCCTACTTACTTATGTTCATTTTTCAAGATATGATCCTGTGGCATAGTGGCTTTACACAAAAAGGATGGAAAAGCTTCAAATAAAGTAGTATGGCTTTCTCCTTGTGGAAATTTTTCATTTACCGAAAAGTCAACAATCAAAACATGTCACCCATATCCAAGTCTAATAAATGTTCTTCATAATAAAACCCGAGTTTTTGTCCTCTTAAGACAAATCATTGCCCCCCGGTAAGGAAGGATAATTTAAAATTAGGATGTGTATGCTTTGAATGCAGGAGAGATATTTTGCATCCCCCTCATATATTGGCAAAGCAAGAGGAAGAAGGACCTGCAATCTGGTTAGACTATCAACCCCTTGACATTAGTCTCACTTCATTCCACAACCTTTAGGAATCATAAATGAAGATTATGACCAGCTCATGCTTATCAAGCCATGTCCCATGCCGGCAAACTAAGCTTCAAATCCAAAATATAGCATCATTCAGCACTAAACAAATCCAAACCATGCGTTGTTGAATTATTGGAGAGCCAACTATTAGCAGAATCAGAAACTGATCCAATATAAAGGGTGGTCAATGTTAGGAGTGGATGCGAAGTACTACAGCAGTCACCATCAATGGTATGCACTAAAGGTTCAAATTTGAAGTCTGCATAACAGTAGTGCATACTTGACTACTGTGAGTGCTACCAAAATTGTACAATATATAGCTAAACTCATTATACCCAACCCCACTAAGTGGCACCATCTCCAAAGAAGATCCCAAACTAAGAGAACAAGATGAATTTGACTAGAGCATTTACATGTCACAGGTCAGATATTATTGAGGTTTACCAACCTTGAACCTCCATATCCTAGAACCTCAGAGCACCAACTAGAACAATGATATGTGTGAAGTCCATGACTCTCCTTAAAACTCCTGCATCACTAGACCTTGGAAGTCGAGAAATCTATGGCCAATATCTTCAACATAACTGCTAGGCCATTTCATGCCAAACAAGCATCCAATCTCAGATGATGGGTCCTATTTGACAATGATCTAAAGGACACATTCCAGATTTGAGGCCTATACAATCTTCCAATTAACAGAGATTCTTTGGTACAGTATTCTTTCTTCATCCTATATGAAAGTGGGTTTACCACTCCATAACTGCAGAGTATCATCAAGCTAATAAATCCTGAGAAAATAGAACATGCCAATAACATCACTTATGAGTTCTATAGTCACCCCTTTAAACTAAGTTTTAAAAGACCCTACAGCACCATCTGCAATTCAGACAATGTAATGGAATGGGCCAAATGAAGAAGAGATCACCCATTCCCATAACCTGCACAACGCAAATGCGAAGGCAAAACATATTTTGCAAATGACAACAATAATAAACTTTTGATGTATAAACCCAAAGGCAGATACAGATAATTAAAACTTTTTAAAAAGATCTATCAGATTAAATTATATTTTAAAAAGGTGGGTAAGCAAGGAAATGAACTTAGAATTTCCAATTAACTCACGTCTCACCAGTGCATGCAGATGATGTTCAACACACCAACAGAACAGCAACAAGAAACCTGCATGATAAAAAAAAAAACAATCTAAACCTAATTGATTCTAATAACATCTAATAAATAAACATACCAAAAAAAACCTGCTGTAGCATCCAATATACAAAACTATAACTTTTTAGAGTTTTAATATAAAATATCAAAAAGACAAGTATAGAGATAAAAATCTTGAACTCTGATAAAATCAAACACTATAACAATATTTTCCCCATTTCATTTCATACAATGGAAGAAGTTTAACGAAGAGTTAGTATATGAAGTATGAACTACATAAACTGGACATTATGCATCTCCTGTGCTGTCTTTCCATCACATAGCCAAACCAGACAAAATTAGGTGATTCACAGAACTTCAAATCAGCACCATATTAGCAATGGTAATGGGGCTGGAAAATATATCAACACTTAAAGAACCCACTACCATAATGAGATTCCTTTATGAACAAACAAACAAGCACACAAAACATCCATATGAGATTCCTTTATGAACAAACAAGTACACAAAGCATTCATATAAAGGGAATATATAAAGCAATCCACAAGCCTGAAAAATAACAATGATACCAAAAACTTGACCTAATTTTCTCACACAAGCTGAGGCAAACAAAAATACAAATCCAGAAAATAATAATAATAATAATAAAATAAACAACAGGATTTCCATGGAAATCCAAAACTCTAAACCTAACAACCAATCGGAGAATCAGTGAAACATAAAAACGTAACAAAAGAGATGAAAACCTTGATTGATGATGCAGATGATGCAGATGATGCTGATGATGCATCAAAAGCAAAAAAACAACAACAAAGAAGAAAGATAATCAAAATTTTGAAACTGATCAAGTAATCGATTCGAGTAACTCATACCAAAAACAACGAAGAAATTAAAACCGCGTGCCGATAGAAAAAACGAAAAGCTTGCGATGATCGTGCAAAGTTATAGAGAGAAAAGGGAATATAAAAGTGGCTTACGAATCGGTGAAGAGGCGGCAGCGGTTGAG